CCACCACCACCATCACCACCACCACCACCATTACCATTAACATCAGCACCACCGGTTACGTTCCCTCTTTTCTTTCTTCTTCAGTTTCACTTTCGGTTTAAGTCTTTGAGAAACGAACGACGCGGAACCTTCAATAATAATAACGGACATGACTTCATCCCCTTCCCCTCACCCCTGTATCCCCATTCCAATCCCAATCCCCTTCCAACCCCTTGCCATCACTTTTCATACTATAATATTACATTGTATTATATGCACCTGTGACTATATTTGTTCATAATTATGAAAATGATCTAATTGTAAGTGAAAATTAATCAAAAAAGAAATTAATCAGTTATTTCACACCCCTACACATTATTTTTATTGTAAAATTATTAATATTTTTTAAATGAATTATTTATAATCAAATAATTTTTTAAACCATTTAATTTATTATTTTTGGAAATATTTTAAATGAATTTTAAATGAAATATATTTTATATTAAACTAAATGAATATTTAATGTAATTTTCACATGATATATTGTCAAAAATAAAACGTTAGATAATATTTGTTATATCAATATTATATAGAATACATTTTTAGTGTTCAAATGTAATTCTAAGAGTTATATTACTTATGATTTTAAACCATACTTTCATTATTATGAGCACTTATATATGTGTAAAATTACGATAATAAAATAAGAGATCCGAGATTTTGTTTAACGTTATACCGTTAATAAAAGCTTCCACTTATCGTAATACACAACCGGTAATTATGCAAAGTGTATTTTGACGTAGATGTGTCTATAAATGAGAGATATGTTAGTAGCATTAATAATAATAATGTTTGATCGGTTGACCGATCGGTATTCGCAATTCTCCTGGTATTAAAAATGAATACGAAGTGTTTGATCGATCGGTCACGTATTTCTCTCTCTCTCTTATTCATTCATACTATTACTGTGGTAGAATAAAACACGACAGGTATAGCAATACAATTTAGGCGAATAAGAAATACCCTAAAGATAATTATGTATTAAAAAAAAAAAAAGAAAGAAAAATGTGTTTAACTGGTTTATAAATTGAAGTAAAAGGTTGTTAATAAAAAAAGAAAAAAAAAACAAAAAGAAGTAGACCACAATTTGTGATAATGTTAATAGAGTATGATATTATTCGATAGTAAATTAAATGATATCTTGAAATTGATCTAAATCTATTTCATTTTTTCGCGAAATTTTCTATTTCTTTTTTGTATTATTATTACAGTTAACTTTCAATCGTACACGTTGTTACTAGATCATTATTTTATAGACTTATGTTAGATTACTTTCAAAATAAATGACTTTATTTTAGATTTAACACATCAAGATTTAATTTATAGATTTTTTAAATATATTAATATCATCGAAATCTTTAAACCTTGGACACAATTTAATTATCATATGAGCAACAATTTCCCAAAGTTTGTCAAAAATATTTTTATATTAAAAAATGTACTTT